TTGTGATATGTTAATTTATCTATCTCTAGTTAGATATACGCGCTGATGTCATATATGACCTTTTCCTAGATCCAATTTAAATTAGATCAATTTTAAAACTCCAAACCACTGAGAACAAGAATGTAGCTGTTAAGATCCCTAGCAAAGATCCTGCTAGAGATTATTACATTATTTTTCATAAGTCAGAACAAGTCCTAAGATTTAATTTTTCCCATTGCAATGTTTTGTTTAACCTCAAAGACTTGAGATAGGTAAATAATAGCTTATTTGGAAATCCTTATTTGGAAAAACCCAGGAGTTTGTAATGCTTTGTTCCCCACTTTATTCCCCAATATGGATTGAGGGCCATGCAACTTTGGAGAGACATCCCCTTTTAATAAGCTTTGAATCAAAGAGCTGCTTCTTTTCATAACTCTGCGTCAGAGTGTCTCCTCCACATAAATATTTTGATTTGAGACACTGAGGAGGAAACTAATTCATATCAGTACATTTCAGATCAGAACCACAATCGCAACAAAAATTTGCATCTCCTATATCATGCCTCCAAACATTAGAACAAAGGGAAGACATGGCTGTGTATGTTTCACATGGCATAAATTAAAATTATCAATTTCTTTTTTCTGGATTTGTGAGGGGAATTTGTGTTTATACTAAGCTAAGACTGCATTTGGGGGCTGAATTCAGTTACTTGCTTCTATTATAAATCAACTTACTAATAACCTCAGTTTATATGAGATTATTAGTAGATTCCCTTAAAAATCATACATGGAATTAAATACTATCGAAAAAGTATTGTATTTAATTTTAAAAATACTTTTATAGATACAGTGCTGTTTAAAAGTTTATGAACCTGTTTGAATTGCCAATATTTCTGCAAAATAAAATCACTTAAAACATGATCTGTTCTTCACACGTCCTGTAAGTTAGTTACCGGTAAACAAATTAGTCAAAAATATCATACTTGTTCACTGATTTATTGAGGAAAGTTATCCAAAATACATATTGATGTGAATGCATAGGATTTGCATCTTTAACCTTTTTATATACTGATATCTTTGTATATTCAAACAGACACCACATCAGACAAATGTTATTTTTAACATTAGAAAAAGATGGAATAAATTAATCTTCAATTTATTACTTGCAAAATATCTGGCATGGACCACAAACAGAAAAAGAGCCTGCATGTTGCCGGGACATCAGAGCATGGATACATTTTGCATGCCTCTTTATCAAATTTCTTTCAGTAAGAGGAAAACAAAAGGTTTATTTATTTATTTATTTATTTATTTATTTATTTATTTATTTATTTATTTATTTATTTTTGCAGTATGATGGTTTCATAAATAAATGAATGAGAAGAATCAGGTTTTTTTATGCCCCATTGAACTAAAATATGAACCACTCAGCCATATCCACTCTAATTGGCACGGTCACATGTTTAAACTGGTAATAAATAGAAAAAAAGTATTAAATAGCATTCAATACACTTTACAAATAATTCTCCTAGTGTAATCCAGCTACTGGAATAAAACAAATGTTACTTTAACAATGCAGTTAACTATTGGAATTATAACAGATACCAACTTTGGTTTTGATCAAGAAAGAAGAATCCATCTATTTTGCTACATTAAAATGTTTTATAAAATTTGGCTATATAGTCTTCAGATTATTTTTATAGTGTTGGTTCATCTTAGCAAGAAAGCAACAATGTGTTTCTTGGGGAATTGCACAGCTAATGGTAAAGCATCTATTAACATGGGAGTGGGTGGATGTGAAGAGAAAAGGAAGAGCAATCAATGATTAACAAGTGTGCTCTTAAATCAGGACCCAAAAAAACCCAAAACCCTAACTGAGAGAAATTCTAACTCTTGCATTAACTATGCTGTGGACCAATGTCCCATTCTGAAAGATTTTGTTGCTTTGTTAGCTAACCAGTTTGATGATAAGTTAATATTTCTGGTTGAAATATTATCTCGACCAGTTTAGATATATTCAGAAAAGGGTATCTTTATTCCTTATAATCATACTTTCCTCCTGACTGAAAGTGCTTTTAGATGAGAGTTTTATTATTCAAACATTGCCTTATTTAAGGAATTTCATGGGGAGTCCAGATGCCATTTTCTTAACTTGTTTCTATAAAAGAAAATCCCCCCAGGAAACAATTATTGAATGATAAGAGTTAGAAGTGGGAAGTTAAACTATCAAGTGCAACCTCACTGCAGGAATCCAGTTTAAAGCAATCCTGACAGATTTCTATCTGATTTTTTTTCTTGAATGCATCCAACAGTTCAATACTTCTCTGTATAGTTGACTCAACTATTGAATGTACTTGATTATTACTGTTAGGATGGTTTATCTAATGTTCAATCAAAATCTGATTTTGTGTAAGTTAAATCCATTATTCCATATCTTGCATTTTGGAATGTTAGAGACTAGACATGTGTAACATTTTCCAAATACTTGAGAAATGCTGTTATTTCATCTCAGTTTTTCTTTTCAAGGTTAAACATTCCTAATTCCTTCACATTCTTTTCATAGGACTGATTCTAGTCCTCTAACCATTCTTGTTGCCTTTCTTTACACTTGTTCTATTTTTACAAATCCTTCTTAAAATAATCATGCTTTGCACTCATTAGGAGTGCAATATTCAAATGTGCCCCAACCAAAGCAGAATAAAGTAGAATCATTATTTCCCATGTTTAGAAGCTATGCGTGTTGTTCTGAAGCTATGCACATTTGATACAGCCTAAAACTAAATTAGCTTTTTAGCATCTGTATCAAACTGCCGACTCATATTAGTTTGTGATCAATTACTATTTCTAGATCTTTTTTATGAACACTATTAACAAACAGATATCCCCCTTCATATACATCTACACCTCATCTTTGTCTTCTAACAGAACAACAGAGTTGGAAGGGACCTTGGAGGTCTTCTAGTCCAACCCCTGCTCAAACAGAAAACCCTGTATCATTTCAGACAAATGGCTGTCCAATCTCTTCTTTAAAATATCCAGTATTAGAGCACCCACAACTTCTGGAGGCAAATTGTTCCATTGATTAATTGTTCTAACTGTCAGGAAATTTCTTCTTAGTTCTTGGCTGGTTCTCTCCTTGATTAGTTTCCATTCATTGCTTCTCGTCCTGCCTTCAGGTGCTTTGGCACTTTTCATTATGGCATTCCTCTGTTAATACAGCCTAGGACTGTGCTGACTTTGAAAGATATGGTTCAGTTGTTCTGAGATTTGAAAATAATGTTTTGATGTTGGGTTTCTTCTACCAATCATCTCTTCCTGAACCATTTAATTGTTTATTTCAGAGAAAATAAAAATGATTCTTATAATTATGTCCCAGTTCAATCTGTTGAATATAATGGCTAAAATTAGCTGCCTAAAGTAATTCATACATGTTTAGTATGAATTACTTTAGAATTACATTTCCTAATGATAAGCAGCTTCTTAGTTTTCAGTTATTTAGAAGCATTCTGGGAGTTTGTCTATATTTTGTCTTCCATCTTCAACTTCTTTTTCTCTCTGGAACAAAGGTAGTAGGAGTTACTTCCCAGCTTTCACATCTGTTTCCTTGTTGATTTTTATTTTTTATTTTTTTGCAGTGTCTTGGCTATCCTTCTTGGTAATATATGCTAAAGTCTTCATTTATTGTTTCTGAATATGAAATAAAAATAACTGTGTGCTTCACCTTTTGTGAACCATACTTGACGAGCATCTGGTTCAGCTTTTTATTCTTGACTCTAGCTGCCTACTTCATGTTGTAGATTCCCTTTTGAAGCTTGCACACTATACTTTATTTCCCTGATTCCTCAAAACCAGATGGCTTCAGTTTGAGGATATTAACCTTGATATTTTTTCCCTATGCATCTACTTTTATGTGTTTTGCTGTTGCTGTGTTAAGAATGTCTTTCAGTGGCTGGCATCTATTTTATTTCTTCCATATGCAGAGTTATTGTGCTTGCTCATTTTAACATGAGGGAAGTTTTCATGAGGGACCCTTTCTTGTGCCCCTTGGAGCACGTGGGCAAGGATGCTCAACTTCCATGCAGTTGAGTTTGGGACATGCAATACAGATCTCCTTCAAAACTCACGGTCTCTACTCACTACTTATCTGGACATAAGGAACAAAATCTGACACCTCATGGTTATTATCTACTTGCTTCAAAATAACCAGTATAGGATAGTTTAATGGTTGCTGTCGTAAGATTTTGGATCCTCCATCCCCTGCAGTAATGTGAATAGTCAACCATCATGCCTTCCTTACATCTGCGATTCAGCTTAATTCTCTTTTCTTTTGGCAAATAGGGATACACTTCAGAACTCAACACTTTCATGTGCCCTGAGCTAGGCTTCTTTCCTTGCCACAGCTATATCACATTTTGACTTTGGCTTTCAATGGGAAACAGTTTTGCTCACTGCTTCTCTCTAATATTTATCAGCCAACCTGTATCTTGCAGCATGAATCTCATCATATCAGGGACCTGAGTATATGCTCTATGAGGACAGGCTGAAGGAATCTAGGGTGTTTAGTCTGGAAAAAGAAAACTTAAGAGAGATATGATGATGTCATTGTTCAGGTACATAAAAGGGTGCCCCAGGGAAGATTGTCATGAACTAATTTCCAATACCACAAAAATTAGGACAGGAAATAATGGATACCTGTTGCAGCCACCTGCATTGATCTTAATAGAAGGAAAAAAATATAAAATCTGTAAAACAATGGAACAGTCTGGTTCAGTAGGAAAAATATAAGTCATATACTAATTAGTAGGCACCTGCCAAACTTTCAGCTGTGGATCTAATTGTTTTCATGGACCAGTTTGCAGGCCACAGAAATGTCCCTTGAATAATAGGTTGATCAGCTGACAGAAATGTAGAAATTTACTAATTATAAATTAGATTACAAAGATTTTTTTAGAAATTATAATTCACATCTATAACATCTGATATTTTTCTCCCCATTCTCCATTCCTCCCCCCCCACATTTAGATACTGACTCCAACCCAAATCAAGTCAATTTGTCAAGCAATGTTAGAATCTGGGAAACAATATGCGCTGAGGAAAAGAAAACCAGTTCCCCTCATGTATTCGTACTATGGGACAGAATATCTTGGTAAGTAAAAACTTCTGTTTTAGCACAGATTCTGTCCAATGTCTTACTTCTGTTTTTTTTTTTAATACAGCCATCTTGTTTGGGATCAAGATTACTATGTACCCTATGCTTCTATAACTTAATGTCCTCCAAATATATTGACTACAATTGTCATCTTCTCAAAATATAAGACCAGAAGTATGTTGACTGTTGAAATTCAACACATCTGAATAGCACCAGCTTGAAGAAAGCCATTTTATACACTTAGAAATAAGGCACATAAATTTAATGAAGCTAAATTCAGAATAAGATTGTACTGTTTAGGATGAAATCTCTGCATCACAACAATGTACTATACAGACAGTGAGTATGTATGATTCTGAAGAGCATCTTGGTTTTCTTTGATGCAGAACATAGAAATTATTTTAGATTAAAGGTTACAAATCAGTTTAAAACATTTGATCAGAAATAACCAAGATGCTTTTTCAAAATAAGAACATTATTTCAAAATGATGGTGTTGGGAGAAAAATCCAACCCAGGGAATTATCTTCAAAGAGATTATCCTTTCCATCAAGAGGTACAAAACCATACAAATTTAATTATTTTATTTATGCACAAATGCATTTATGTGTACAGTGGACTAATCATATTCTAACAGAATATCATATCCAGTCCACTTGAGATAGAAACTTATATTCCATAGGCTGTAAAGGACCCTCTTTTCTCATCCTGGATGGAATATCCTCTTGTTCAAGACCTGAAGCTGATGGTTTCCAAGCTAGAGAAGACCATTAGATAACCATATCTGAGCTACCCAAAGGCACCATGACAATCACCAAATATCTGTTAACTGAAACATATAGGAGAAAAAGGGTTGAGAATTTAAATTGTCATGCACAGAAACTTAAAGGACCTGAATTCTTGCTTTACAATTAGTTGTGTTCAGGCATCATCATTTTTGTTTGCAGTGAAGATTCTAAATTGAGCAAGATATCTGCTGAGTAAATAAAAATATATTTCTTTCATTAGTTGGTAACCACTACCAAATCTGATTAAGGGGTGACAATGGAACAGAGTTATGGCCCATAGAACAAAAAAGATTATATCAAAGCATCAAAACAAAACTCCAGTCTTTGACATAGTGATAAAACAATAAAAGAAACATTCAGTTGAAGGAATGTGAAAAGTAATAAAAAAGAACAGGACAGTACAGTAATCAAACCCAGAAACATTCAGTTTAAGTATTTTTGCCTAACACCCCTACTGAAAAATAAAATGAAGTAGAAATCTAATTTAGGCAGGCCCAGAATAAGAACTTCAGATACTGTAGCTCAGGCTTTTCAGCCACACAAAGTGGGTGATGGATTGTTTTTTTAAAGAGGAATATTTTAAAGTTAATGATCCACTAGTGACTTGCCATTTCAAAGGAAGTAATCTATGTCTCTCCTTCTTTTGACTTGTCAAGGTGGGAATTAACAGATGCCAAGACTATGCCCAGTCTCTCTCCCTTTTGTTAAGATCTACTTAATTTGACAGCAAGACATTTATGTCTTGTAACACCAAAAAAATAATCCTGGTGGACATTTACAAAAAAGAACTAATCTTTCCACCACCAATCTTCCACCAAATTTGCCAATCAAATGTGCTTGGAAAGACTGCAGAAATGACTTGAGAACAACAGCATTTTCTACATATTTCCTTGCCTACAACAGTGACCTAAATATTAAAGCTGTGCAACACTTTGAATTCAATTCCAAAAAGGGGTTTGGAGCATGGGGACATACATATAGCATTGTCTTTATAGCAATGGTATACTTTAATGGGATTTCATGCCTTTTTGGAGTCAAATGTGAAGTCATATATAGCCTTAATAATTATTATGACTGACCTAGCAGCCATTGATGGTCTTATCTTCCTTGAACGCAATTCTCTTTTTAAATGGTTCTTCTTGGCAACAATAAGTATATATCACAATAATAAATTATACAGCATGATTTAGTTGTAATACATCTATTTTTTTCATAGGCTTGTGTAAAGTCTTGAAGGCGTCTGTTTTCCTTGTGGCACCATTGTTTTGTTTTAATTCAATCCGTTGTTTTTGTATCATCCTGGGTTTTTTTTATTTGCCCGGAGACTGCCATCATTTGCTTTTATTGGCTGATCCTGGAATACAGTATCATTCTGATCCCTTTCAAAATAGTCCTGCACTACTTACTTTACTTATGCTCTTTGCAGGAGCTGCCCATGGACTCTCATCTATCCTACAAATGCTGCTTTCCTATTACGAATATCTCCCACCTGCTGATCAGGAACTTGTATGGCAGAGTGTTGATTTTCTCATGGATCAAGAACAAAATTGCAACTGGCCTCCGGAATTGGGAGAAATGATTGAGCGAGAGAATGAACTTGTACACTGGTGTCATGGCGCTCCAGGTTCTCATATAGATATTATAAAGTAGTTCCTCAAATTAGTTCCATTTTGCTGAAAAAATAGGGCAAATGTTATTTATGTTATTTCAACATTAGCAATATTACTATTGTTACTTTAATAGCTTTATTCTTACTGAAATGGATCAAAGTTTAAGTAATGGAGAGCCGTCTTAAACATCTGAACAGTGCAGTTGCCTGTAGCCTCCACTGAAAATGTGAAGGAATTTCTCCACAATTGTCCTCAAAATGCCTTGTCTATACTGTAGTGTATAACCGCATCCTAGAGAGCTGGTGAATCCGAAATCTACTGCAAAGGATAAAATAGGGTCCCTCTTTTTGTGAGGGTATTTTTTTTGCTTTCTGTCAATATTCCTATCCTTGTATAAAGATGTAATATCAGAATATAAAACTGGCCCACAGCATAAATATAAAAGGATGGCCCTAAATATTTGGTGTTTGAAGAAAAGCAGAAATGGATCTTCTTCACAAAAGTTATTTTAAAAGTAAAAAAAATCTGGTAACAATGACTATTAGAATGAATGTGTGTTTTTTGTGTGTTTTTCTATCCTCTTATGACTCCATAAATCATCTACTAAGGATATGATCGTTAATTTTATTGGGCTGGCTTTCATGTGGCTTAATTGTATTCTCTGAACTTTCCATTTGAAAGCAACACATTATCTACAATAATGCAAATAAAACCAAACTATTTTTTACCCCACGTTCCATAAAAATTTTCCATACACTAGCTCCCATTGCTTACCAATTAATTTCTAGGTGCTATTAAAAATCATGATCATTTCATTTTTTTAGGGAGCAAAACATTATTAGTGACAATAGACTGAATAGCAGTGAGTATTGCTAGGAAATCTGAGCATTCAGATAATCTTATCACAGAATAAGAAACGATTTCTTGGGCATTGGTGGACTTTTAAGAAGGGAAAAAAGGAACTGCTTTTTGATTTTATCTGGCATTTTATTTGCATCTTATATCTCTAAGCTAACAGTGCATACTTTCTGTTTTCATACAATGGTTTATTCTTCAGTGGTTCTTACAGAATCATTTTCTTTTCTCCTCAGGCATTGCATACATGTTTGCAAAAGCATATTTGGTTTCTAAAAAACCCCAGTATCTAGACAGTTGTATCCGCTGCGGAGAGCTAACTTGGCAGAAAGGACTACTAAAAAAAGGACCCGGAATATGTCATGGTGTGGCTGGCAGTGCTTATGTGTTCCTGCTCCTATACAGGCTAACAGGAAATTCTAAATACATGTACAGAGCACAAAGGTTAGTAACTGAATAGAATCTTTAAATTTGCAGATTATACAAAAGATCATTCAAGTTACAATAAGTGTTTTGTGTTACTCTTTTATCACTTATGTTGTTTTAGAATTGAAAATATATGCATGTATATGTGGATGTAAATGAGCTAACTCTAATCATTTATCATTTGCTGTAGAAAAATGTGCAAATATATGTCCTTCCTACTCCAAACTTCTCTAATTTTCTCTAGATTCTTTTAGAAATAATGAGTTTGAATTATCCAATATATATGCACATTGTTCACAGTTTTGAAATTTATCTGTGATCCCATAGTTCAGTTTTCTCTTGGCCTGGTATCATCAGGAAATGATGTGTTAGATTTCAGAACTCAAAGCATAATTCCTTATGATTCATTATGTGCCATCAGGACAGTGCTGACTGATAGAACCACATAAGTAGCTAATATAATGTAGCATAATATTATACTTTGATGGTTGAGAATTAGGGATATTAACAGCACCAGTAGCCAAACAATTTATCATTACTTCTTTAATTTTTCACTGAGTCTATAGCCCTAGAACAGGGGTTCCCAACTTGGGGTGCTCGTACCCACTGGGGGTGCAAGACAATATTCCAGGGGATGCGAAAACTTTCAAAATTATAGTGTATATACATAATTCATTGCCATTATTTTGAACTATTGTAAGGGGTGCCAGAATATATCAGAAGTGTTCTAGGGGTGCAGAATATAGAAAAGGTTGCCCTAGAATATTCTAAGGGTCCCTGTTGAAATATAAACCCTACTAAGCCTTACATGTTTAATCAAGTTTAGATGCTACTATTTGCCATCAGGACTGTAGGTTCTATACTACGTACCTAACCATCTTTACAGTGCTTGATTGACTACTTGACTACAATGCTAAAGTACAACCAGGCAGCACTAACCTGGAACCAATCAAACCAGCCCTGTGATTCTAAGGCAGACATGTCAAACACAAGGCCCAGGGGCTGGATGCGGCCCGCGAAGTGGTTTCATGTGGCCCGCAAAGCCATCCTGGAAACAATGAGGGAACGGCCCCCACTGCCTTGGTCCTGGCCCAGGCTGGCCAGGAGCCAATGTACAATTTTGCGGTGGCCATCTATGCTGAAGCACATTCAGTCTTAGCTCCACAAGGCCGTCTAGAAACAGCAAGGAACCAGCCCCTGCCGCATTGGCCCCGCCCCCTGGGTGAATGCTGGGAGGTGTCACTCTTTGTGAGGAATGAAGAAATGGGCCATGCCTTGGCACTTGCCCCGGTTCTACCCCCTTCTGCCAGAGACCCTCAGATCTGTCCCACTCCTGCCCAAGCCCCCACAGGCACCCTTGACGCAAACAATGTAGAGCTGGCCATGCCCACCCAGTAGGCCACACCCACTCCATCCATGTCCACCCACCTACCTACCCTGGTCACACCCACCCAGCCCCCCAAGAGCCACCGCAATGCTGATGTGGCCCTCAATGAAATTGAGTTTGACACCCCTGTTCTAAGGCAAGCATAGATAAGACCACTTCCAATGATATTAATAGAGAAAACAAGCAGGAGAGGGCTAAAATGGAGCTGTTCCAACAAATATTGTAATATGCCACAAGATACAGTTAAAAAAGGAACCTGTTCATAGCACATAGACATCCATTTATTTCTTTGATTTACAGCCAATAATATGTTTTTTTTCTTATCTTATTTATTTCTTAGGTTCGCTGAGTTTTTGTTTAGTGAAGAATTCAAGGCTGGCTCCAGGGCATTGGAAAATGTTTACAGTCTGTTTGAAGGCTTCTCAGGGACAGTGTGTTTCTTGGTTGACTTGCTGCAACCTAACCAGGCTGAGTTCCCTCTCTTTAGCATCTTTGTGTGACAAGTTCCAGTGCTAATCCAGGACAATCATTCTGGAGGCACAAATTCAATTCACTACAAAGGATAGATTTTCATTTGTTTTGATTTTTAACAAGTACATTCATTTCAGCATTCCTGTACAAGAAATAAGTAATAAGATAGGGAATGTTTTTATATGGTTGTGCATATGGATGGGAAAGAGAGCATATGATTTCAAATAATAGTCATTTTAAATCAAACAGACTAAGTTTTCCCAGAGTTGAATATACATGAAAATGCTGTTTGAAGTTAATTTAAAATGTCTGTCTCATGATAATGGGCTTCTTGAAGACACATAGTAGAAATCTTTTAGGAACCTGTAAGTAGAGAACATATATCATTCATTTTTTCATAAAAACAATGTAAAACAGTACCTTGTTATGTACAAGGGTAGCCCCTTTCATTTTGGAGAAATAGGTATTAGAATGTTGGAATATAGTATATGGTAAGGCCACACTTGGAATACTGCATCCAGTTTTGGTCACCACAATGTAAAAAAGATGTTGAGACTCTAGAAAGAGTACAAAAAAGAGCAACAAAGATGGTTAGGGAACTGGAGGCTAAAACATATAAAGAACAGTTGCTGGAATTGGGTATGTCTAGTTTAATGAAGAGAAGGACTAGGGGTGATATGATAGCAATGTTCCAATATCTCAGGGGTTGCCACAAAGAAGAGGGAGTCAAGCTATTCCTCAAAGCTCCTGAAGGCAGGACAAGAAGCAATGGATGGTAACTAATCAAGGAGAGAAGCAACCTAGAACTAAAGAGAAATTTCCTGACAGTTAGAACAATTAATCAGTGGAACAACCTGCCTACAGAAGTTGTGAATGCTCCAACACTGCAAGTTTTTAAGAAGAGACTGGACAATTATTTGTCTGAAATTGTATAGGGTTTCCTGCCTGAGCAGGGGGTTGGAGTAGAAGATCTCCAAGGTCTCTTCCAACTCTATTATTATTATTATTATTATTAATATTATTATTATTATTATTAATAATAATAATAATATATTTCTGTATGTATTACCTTATTTATTAGATGCACCAAACAGCAGCATTTTAAATGGCTATATTAAAAAAACCTCTCTTTTTATAACCCTGTAATCCCTTAATTTGGGATAAAGTCAGGGTGACTGGATGGAGCTGAGCATTTACTGGATGGATGCCCTTCCTGACACCTACATGAAGTTCACAGCAGATTTTTTGTTGTTGTTGCCGCTACCTAGGATTGAACTCTCAATCTTCTGAGTAGGAGGTGAGCATCTTCACCACTAGGTCACCACGGCACTCATTTTAAATGGCCATATATACATATAATTAGTTTGTGTAAATATAGCGAAGACTTTGTAAGCATCATAGGCAAATTCTTCTTACCAATGTTCTGCCTTTTTGGGGGGGGGGGAGAGATCCAGGAAGCAGAGTTTTTGACATGTAATGATTATTTGATAGATGCTAAAAGAATTTCCAGGATCATATGATGCATGACTGAATGCCCAAAGAAGTGACTTGATCATGATGCTCCTTGATCTTTGAATTCATTCTTAGACAATTCTACTGAACCCAAATGGGAGTATTCCCACACACCCAATGCCCTGCCAGCATCAGGTTGGTAGAGTAGAAGAGCAGGAAGAAGCAATTATTGCTATCCTGCTTTTTCATTACAATACAAGAGAACACTAAACGAGGTGAAAGGTAATATTCTGGCAGTAGTATGACACTCAATTACGTGGAATGAGATATTTGAAGCAACACTTGTAACAGGACAAGAACTATGATTATTATGGCTTACATTTGGGCTTGAACTTCAGTATAATTACACAGGACCTGAACTACTACTATCATACTTTCATTTTCTTCTTTCATATTGAAATACATTTTATTGATTTTAGCTTTCCTTTAAATATAACATTTCTTAAAGCATTATAAAAGAGAAAGCTTGTAAGGAAAAAATGGTTGGTGGGAAAGGCCTATACAAAACGACCAGTGCACGAGGTCAAGAAGCTACTCAAATCTTTTAGTCTCAGGACCTGAAGCAGAGGGAGAAAGATGATAACAGTTCTCCTGCCTCTCCGCCATACTTTCTGTTTTGTGATGTCTGAACAATCTGAAACTTTTTGATGAATAACCATGAAAATAAGGTGAAATAAGAACAAACTACAACTGGATGTTTTTCAAATGATTAAGGTTAAGATCTTTCCCTGTCGGGTTCAAGAAACTAAGAACAATATAACAAGCTACTTCAGAGTAGTTTCTTTATTGTTGCTCTCCTATAGACAGAAATCTTGTCAGACTAAAGCAGTTATCTGCATAATTACTAGATATACCCTGCAAACTGCTAGGGGGAATCTACCTTTCCTCTCTTTCTGCACACCAAAATTTCCAACTTCTTTGCTCCCCTAGGAAAGAGCCCCTCCCTCCTGCAGCTCTGGCCTATATTTCACCATATTCCCTACACTATTGCATACCAAACACAATGAATCCTGACAGACGTTAGCATAATTTCCATTCTTCCCCTTTGCTAGGTGTGCTTAGAAAACACATTGTGACAGTCAAGGTAGAGAATAGATTTTTGAGTTCTGGAGCTTATTATTGCAGAGAGCCTTTTTTCCTAGATCACCTTAGTTAGGTTTCAAAAACCTGCTCATTTTGTTTGGAAAATTTCAGGACAGATACTTTAGGAAGTTTCTTTGTATCTGGTACTTTTTCCTAGAATTCTGCTGTGAATTCGTATAATTATGCAGATCTAGAGAGTCTCCAGAAAGTCTTAGACCTGTTGTTTGAAGATATCAAAGAAAACTGTCATGAAATGTCTTGATTTTTATGCAAACAAGAAAATGTATACTGTATAGGAAATCTCAAGGTTCTTTCCCCTAAATTCAAATTATTTTCTTATTAAAATTCACAGAGTATCAGATTATTAAACTATTGTTGTTGTTGTTAATTGCGAAGTCGTGTCCGACCCATCGCGACCCCATGGACAATGTTCCTCCAGGTCTTCCTGTCCTCTACCATCTTCTGGAGTCCATTTAAGTTCACACCTACTGCTTCAGTGATTCCATCCAGCCATCTCATTCTCTGTCGTCCCCTTCTTCTATTGCCCTCAATCTTTCCCAGCATT